AAAACAATTTGTTTAAATAAACTCTGGATATGGGACTCAATGGTCAGAGTTCGAGTCGCAAAACTGCCACTTATAAATTAAGTTCCCTGGCTGCAAGCCTCCTCATCTTTAAAATGAAGAGATTGAGCTACAATTATTTTAAGTTCCATCTTGTTATTTCCTGTGCCTTCACAGCTAAAGGTAAATGTTAAAAAGTCACAGAGTTACTTGAATCCTTTTAACAATTAATTATTATTTTATCCAGTTAAGTCACAGCTACTTTCTACATTTTAAGAAAAATTATCACAATGAAATCTCTGCAGTTCTAGAAATAAAATATTTATTCCATCTGTCCAATCTATATTTTTTCAGTCAGAAAAAATAAATCAACCAAATCTACGGATATTAGTATATTTCTGCCTTGTTTTTAAAAAACAGTGAAACGGAAATCCTTGTGACATGATAGAAGTTTTAGAAGAGTTTCTAGTCATTATGAAGGGGTAGATCTCTCCCTTCACCTCCCTGTGTACTTAGACAAAGATGGTCTATATGCCAGCACAGTTACCAGGGTATTCATGCAGATACTGGAATGCAAGATTAATTTTGGTAGAGTTCTATTTTTTTCAGTTAACAGCCTTTTTGACTTACTGCCTTACCTAACCATCTTAATTTAGCACATTGCAGAACATTTGCTTTAGGGTAATTTTTTTCCTACCTACAATTTATAACATTTTGGTTTGATTTCATGTGATTAATTTTGATCAATGCAAAGATTTCATATTCTCTAGTGAGAAATGTGTATACTGAGGGAAATGAACTTTTTCCAACCACATCCCCCAGAGTATTTTTAAATATGCTTTGCTCAAGACATGCTAGGTAAATATTACATCTATATGGTTGAGAATAACAAAGTCAATTTTAAATCAATTAAAGTCGTGTAAATCTTATATTAAGAATCAACCCATATGCATACATATATATGAATAATTTCTTTAAGTGTACTTTAAGTCTTTTGAAGTGTCAGACAGATTGTCTCAGTGAATAGAATTAAAACATCTTCTTTCTGAATTATTTTAATATGTGTTTTAGTCGATATTATATAAAAATAAAAATACAAAGAATTTTTTATTGTAGGCGTATATAAGCAGACACAAATAAAAGTGAGTTGTTTTACATTAATACTTATTTTGAAAGTATCCCTCGTGCTAAATGTTATTTCTTGATTAGTTGGAGTGATATTACATTATGATCTTTTGAAGCAAATTGAGCAAGTTACTATCAGTAAGTGTAAAAATCAATATTGTGCAGTTTCCCTAGCAGAGGTTGTAAGTCAAGGTTGATACTTCCCTAAAAATTTTCCACATTCAAGCCACCTGAACTTCCAACTTGAAGATAGTCTTGCTCTAGTACTCAGAGTAATTTTTGCTATCAGTTATGGTTTGGCATCTCTTAGATCGTAGAGTTAGTGAATCTCAGTATACTTTACTTCTCCATTGAAACACTATCTTGTGTAAAGGCCTAGTATCATATGGAAAATCCTCTTGAGCCATCATTCTTTGCCTACACGGCTCTCACATTCTTGTCATCAAATACACTGCTTTAGTTTTTCAACCTGAAGATTGGTCTATCAATAATCTAGTGTCCAAATTACAACCAAGTTTTTACATTGTTTATACAGTACATCTTATCTACCCTGGCAAGCTTTCCTTTCAGTCCATATTCCAACCATGTGGGTTTTTGTTTGGTTTGGTTTCATTTCGTTTTCGCTAAATGCTGATTCCCAGCTCCTTTTAATCATTGTGTTGCCTTGAAGAATCATGCATGATTTTCATGTTACAATAAATTTGTATTCAAAAGTAGGCAAATACATTAAACATTCTGACTGATGGAAGTTTAAAGAAATTTGAATAAGTATGAAAGGATGAACTTGGTATCCAGGTTCTTAAAATACTTGTTTAAGTTTTACTTTTATACTTACCAGATCTGGAACTTAGTCACATAATTTAAATTTTGTAAGCTTCAATTTGCTCCTTTGAAAATATAAGCTAAAATAATATTTTAGCTACACAAAGGAACTACACAAAGAGCTCTGGAAATCTGCATAGGGGCTCCACAGCATCTTTGTTTGAATAGCAATCTACACATACGTAATAAGAAAGTCCATATGACCAGGTGAAAAACAACTGCTAGAAAAGAATAATTATAGTGAACTGTAAGTAGAATTCCCAGGGCTCCCACAGGTCTGAAAATCTTTTGGTTTCCCAATCAGCCAGAGTAGCGAACCCCCGTTGAATACAGAGGGTATTCAGTAGAGAGTACAGAAGGACCAAGCCTAATCACAAGCTTTATGAAAACAATACCTACCTCAAAAAGTGTAGTGAAGATCAAATGAGAAATGAGTGTTAAAAACATGTTTAGCTGTGTTCAGTCAATATGAATATGATCATTGCTTATAAATATTTTCAAATTTGCATATTTAAAATAAAAGGTAAAAAACAGAAATATTTTGTTCATATTGATCTTTCTAATTGTTGTTTTTGAGACAGAGTCTTGTTCCTGTCGCCCAGGCTGGAATGTAGTTGTATGATCTCGGCTCACTGCAACCTCCACCTCCTGGGTTCAGGTGATTCTCCTGCCTCAGCTTCCCAAGTAGCTGGGGTTACAGGTGCTCGCAACCATGCTTGGCTAATTTTTTTGTATTTTTTTAGTAGAGACAGGTTTTCACCATGTTGGCCAGTCTGGGCTCAAACTCCTAACCTCTGGTGATCCAGCTACCTCTGCCTCCTCAAGTGCTGGGATTACAGGCGTGAGCCAACATGCCCAGCCTCAAATTGATCTTTTATTTAACTGTATATGTGTAATAATGATAAAAATAGGAAGGAAAGAAGAAAATACAATAATTATTTTGAAATATACTGTGCCTGGTTCTTTGCTAAATGCTGTACATATATCTCATTTAACCTTCCTAGCAAGTACATGAGATAGCTACTATATTTACTATGATTTTTCAATCAAAAAATAAAATTGAAAGATATGTAATTTTTTAAAAGGCACTCAAAAGAAAGTGACACACTAGAGATTTAAAACTACATCAGCACAAATTCAAAAGAATCCCATTATAGCATCTCCTAGATGCTAAAACTATAAGCATGAATACTACAGAATTTACTTTTAGCATAAACTTTACATTTAAAAAATGTTATAATTTTTTATATTCGTTGTTACATAAAATTTAGCCTCTTCAAACTGTGTTCTATAAATGTAGATATTTTCTATAATCAGAAAGCTATACCACATTTTACAAAAATAAATGATTTGCCATGTTGATTCTAGAACCTTTTCTAGGGTCAAGAGAGTAGTAAAGCTATTGTTTAAAATACAATGGCTTAATTAATATGTATGTTCATGTGTTTTTATCTAAACAATCAAGACATGAGTTTTACTGAGGAAGAGATAAGATTTTTGAAAAAAATCATGAAAAGTGTTTAAATGTAAATGTTATAGCCAAATAATAATAAAAAAAGTTATCCTGTAATTTATTTTCCCTGTAACTATGAAATAGTTAACTACGTTATTGCACTCCCAGTATTATTATTGTTGCTGCTTAATGCAACAACAGTAATAATGCCTTCTTAAATTTCTAAATATAAAGCCAGAAACATAATAGGTCTAGTGCATCTTTTTTAGAAGCTCCCCCCAGCCCACCCTGCCACCTTTTTATTTTTGAGATGGAGTCTTGCTCTATTGCCGGGCCGGAGTCAGTGGCATGATCTCGGCTCACTGCAACCTTTGCCTCCCTGGTTCACGTAATTCTCCTGCCTCAGCCTCCTGAGTAGCTGGGACTACAAGCACACACCACCATGCCCAGCTAATATTTTGTAATTTTAGAAGAAACGGGGTTTCACCATGTTGGCCAGGATGGACTTGATCTCCTGACCTCATGATCTGCCCACCTTGGCCTCCCAAAGTGCTGGGATTACAGGCATGAGCCACTGCACCTGGCCTTGCTTTTTTTTTTTTTTTTTTTTAAACCTTATACATTGATAGTGCAATGCATAATGCAAATGTATAATCATGACTGTGTTATTCAGATTTTCATCAGAAATAGAGAAATACTTTGTCTTTATTCAAAATTCTTTAAAGTAGTATGAAAATTTTTAAATTTCTGTTTTCCAATGCATTGTTAAATTATTTATCAGATTGGTGCAAAAGTAATTGTGGTTTTTGTCATTACTTTTAATGGCAAAATTAACTTGCTAAGAAAAAGAATAATTCTTTTTTAATTAAGTATAGTGCTTATTAGGAACTTAAAGTGGATCCTCCTTTTATATTGTGGAAAGCAGATATGCTAATAGAAGAGAGAGAAAGCCTTTGATAGCAAGTGAAATCCTGAATATTTTATAGATAGTCACCAGTACTGCAAGGGCTTCTGCTGTATTTTATCAATATTACTTTATGTTTGGGCACTGAGATCTGCCGGTCGGTGAAATAGAGTAGGAGCTTACCATCACATAATATACTGTACATACTAGTTCAAGTTTAAACAGCATCTTTGGTTTCAATGAAGGGTAGGCAATCATTGCTTAAAAAAGATGTATTAACATTATATTTTTACTTATGATCTACGGGTTAGCAGGAAATGCATTGGGACTACATTTGAAGACTTAGCTACATACTCATACACACATATACATACATACAAAACTGTAATTACTTTTGAAGACTTAGCTACATACACATATATATATTGTAACTATATTTGAAGACTTACTTAGCTACATACACATACACACATTGTAACTATATTTGAAGACTTACTTAGCAACATACACATATATACATACATACAACATTGTAACACATGAGATAGTCACATACAGGTGAGATAGTCATTTATATTCAGATCTATTTTGTTAATAATAAATGAATTATTTCCTTTATTTAAAAATTCTTAACACTAGTACAAATTATTATTTACTTCTTCTTTGCCAACAATAATATATTTTGCTTTTCTTTTTCAGGGTTTAAACTTCAAAAGAATAGAGACAGCACAAGGAGGGAGAGAGGTAAGAATGTTTAAAGAAGAGGGATGGGGAAAAAGAGGAAACATGGCTATGGCGTTGCAGTGATGTGGTGATGGTGATTGATGATAATTCCGTTGATAATGGAAATGGCGATGCATTGAAGAGAATGTATGCATATGGTTCCATTCATTCTGGGCAAAGCGTATTTTACATGTTTATGTAAATGTATTATTTGTGCTTGTTTCTCTGAAGCTAAAGAAAATGTTTCTCTGATTAGGCAAGCATTGTTTCTGTTGTAATAGATTTCTGTAGCAGCAAGTTCTTTCACAGGGGGCAGAAAAGCCTTTTTAAGCAAACATTACGACGCAATTTTAAAAACTGAGACTTACTGAGAAATTAGCAGAATTCTAACTGCAAATATTTTATGACATTTGGGATTATTCACTTTCCTGTCAAAGGCTGTTGGCATATGCTACTAGGCTGGTATGCATTATTAGAGAATGAAGTTGCTCTGGCAAAGCTAGTGATTTTAAAACTTCTTTAATTATTGCCTACCCCAGATGCTTTATAATGAGGAGAAACTTTTGACAGTACCAAACATGATACCGTATCATTTATACTGTGTGTGTTGTTATTTTCTGATTCTAACTGAATGTGAAGACTTAACATCACTTAAAATTCTTTCCATGCTAAACATATAAATGTTGTACTTTACTCTGTGATTCAGGTTGTTGGGAAGTGTGGGAAGGGTGGAATATTTGATTCAGTAAATCAAAACGTTCTCACTGCACACGCAAAAGAAAAATGTTCCTTGGTGATACTTATATAGCAATTTTTGTACAAAAGCGAAGGTATTTTGTCCTAGAAAATCAGAAAATAAATCATACTGTCCTCTCCATTTGTAGCTGCTTCTTCGTAGAAACAGATTTCTTACCTATAGTGGCGTTTGCCACCTTTCCTTCATGTTTTAATTCCAGTTGTATGATTTTGGTATTTGACATTTAAGTTCTCTTTCTATTTTCTCAGCTATTTTCCACCCAGAAGAACCTATTTTTCTTGAGGAACACATATAGTTGGCTCACATGGGTTGAAGAACTGGACAAAGTGAAACATAGATAAATCTTTACATATTTTTCATGTTGTAGGAGAGCAAGATAAGAACATAGTCATCAGTTTGACTGGGGAAAAATGCACTTCATAAGGAAGATCTCAGAGCATTTTAGAGTTTTGTGAGAGTAACCGCTTTCACTCAAACATGACCAAAATGGATCTATTTAGATAAGGAACTAAACTGATCACCTCCTAAGTGAAAGTTTACATCCAGGCAGTACGGGCACAATTTATCTCTGCTGATTTAGTGCCTTTAGGGACATATAAATGGAGTTACTCAGTGTCTTGTGGCTGCCTCCTAGTCTAATAGCAGCTGTGTGTCAAAAGAAGGAAAACTTAATGTACAATGGCATTGCTAAATGGTGACAAAATTCTTTGTTTGTTTTACTGAGATTTTTAAAGATTTAATGTTATTTTTACATGCATAATGATTAGTTTTTATTGAAAAGACTGACTCTTAAATCTTATTGCTTATTTTTTTAATTTCCTTTGATTTTATTTTTATTGTAAGTGTACTTATAAGTAAAGAACATGATGAAAATGGGTTTAAATTTTTTTTTTAAAATTTTGAGAATAAGGTATATTCTCAAAACTATTTTGTATTTTCTGTGAAGGTCAAAATTATAGTAATTTACTAATGTGTATATCTCCATAGAAGGGACAACATTGATCTTGGCCTTCTCCCTGAGGGTAATGGAATAATTGTAATAAGCTAAGATCATCAAATTAACCATAATCCAGTAATGTCTTCTCCACTTGACACTTCCAATTCATGACTAGAAAGTAATCAACTATTAAAATTCAAAGCAGCTACTTTACTTCCTCTTGGGGCAGCACTGGGTTACTTAGGCATATTCCTATGCAATCTAACTACTTCGCTTAGCTTTCCCTGTGACTAAGAGACCTAGTATGTTCTAAGATAAGAAACTTTGGGGAAGTATAAGACAATTAGGTAAATATGTTGTAAACACTGTCTTTTTCAAGTCTCAATGGTAGATGACCTGTAAACAAAGAGTACGATTACTATGTCAAGGACCTTGACATCTCTCTTGCTTAAGAAATGGGATGTGTATGTCTCTAATTTCTATTAGGTGTGTTCTATTATGTGTGTCTATTACAAATATGTATGGTGTACTTATGTTCAATTGAAATGTGTGGGTTTAGAACACTCTTCAAACAATTTCTTAAAATTTCTCATTGTAATGCTATTATGATTGATAGATGGCAGTAATTACTTATGATGAATTAATTGCTTAGTTCAAATGACAGCTCTTCCCAATAGGTGTTGATGGATGCAATACCAAGGGCTTGTTACCAGATACTTATAAGAAGATTTAATAAGTGTCATTTAAAATGTTCTATTTACTTATTGAAGTAATGAAAACATTATTCATAGAAAACGAAGTAGACAGTAATTTGCTATTTAGCTAAGTGATAAATACCATTAAAAAGCTGATTGCCAGACAGGAAGGCTAGATTTGAAACTATATGCTGTATGAAAATATAAATTAAGAAGTGATTAAAATGTATATTACTTTTCTGAAGAAAATAGAGGTAAGTAACACCTAAATTGCTAAATTGTGAAATATATGAAAGTAGTCATTAGTGGTACAAAATAACTCTAGTGATATTGGTATTTTTGCATTTTTATGCATGCATATTGTATATATAATTTGAGGGAGTTGATTATAATAGATAATAAGATCGTTTAAAAGGGGAGATGAGTGGAATGCTATACAAAATGTGATCGTTTAACAGATATTTCTAACCAATTAAAAACAATTTTCTTGTATCTAGTGGGATTTTGCAACTCATAGAAAAACCTCAGTGAAAATTGGCTGCATAGATAAATCATTTTTTTCATTAAGTGTGGATAATATTAAGTTACTCTCATTTTTCTTTTTCTTTTTTTCTTTTTTTTTTTTTTTTTTTTTTTTTTTGAGACGGAGTTTCACTCTTGTTACCCAGGCTGGAGTGCAATTGCGCAATCTCGGCTCACCGCAACCTCCGCCTCCTGAGTTCAGGCAATTCTCCTGCCTCAGCCTCCTGAGTAGCTGGGATTACAGTCACGTGCTACCATGCCCAGCTAATGTTTTGTATTTTTAGTAGAGACGGGGTTTCACCATGTTGACCAGGATGGTCTCGATCTCTTGACCTCGTGATCCCACCGCCTCGGCCTCCCAAAGTGCTGGGATTACAGGCTTGAGCCATGGTGTCCAGCCTACTCTCATTTTTCTTAAAGACTTTAAAATATCTTTGTTATTTTAAGTAGTTTTTTTTTTATTTTCCAAAGGCCAGTTTTTGTTTAAATATTAAAGCTTCATCTGTGTGTGCCTGTGTGCACACTTTTTTCTGAGTGGCAGATTGTCTCTGTTTTTACTCTACCTCAACAGTGGCCAACCATCGTTATTCTGAATGTTCTGTATCACAGGTCTAAAATCACATGACATGCGACTTTATATCATGAATGAAGACAACTAATAATTCTGGTTGAATATCTAAATCAGGAATAAGTATTTAGCTTCTGAAATTCTATTGAATGTGGTAAGCTAACGTGAAAGACAATGGCTTTTGGAACTTGTGGGTTGAGGCTGTTATACAGGAAGTTATAGAAACTCAGGAACCATAGATGCTATGCAAATGAAGTACAAATGTATAGTAATCTAGGATTACTTTTATATAATTTGCATGATCTCTCAAAGTGATGAACAATCTTAGTGGGGATAATGTTTCCGTTATTAACCGGAATTCTGAAAACAAGATTAATATTGTTATACTTGAATATTTTAATAGTTTATGCTCTTATAAAACTGTTTATGCTGCTTAAATATCAGAAAAAAATCAAAACTTTAAATAATTTCTACAAGTATTTAGAAAGATGATCAACTTTATAGACATACTCATTCCGTTACTGCAAAAATTCCCACTTGTGTTTTGGAAATTTTTCAGTTGATGATATTTGTGTGGTCATGCCATTGATATATAAAAAAAAAATCCCACTTTTATTTTTGGGATTGCGAGTACAAATAGATTCTGATGGACACTTAGGAAAAAAGTGGACATTTCAAATTATTAAAATAGCTGATTTATGAATGTATCATTCTCAAGAAAATGAGTATATCTTATAACCTGTTATCTGTTTTGTAGTCCAGAAATGCTTAATTTTCTTTGCTGGATTACAGTGTGCTGATTCTCTATTTTCTTTGCTAAAAACCATAAATATGAAATTATTGATGGTACAAATCTCAGAGACTTAAAGAAACAATTCGAGACAGTTGAAAAAAGGTAGATTGAAAATCAATGTTTAAATACTCTTTCCCAGTCCTGTTTTATTCATTATTTAAAATGATACTTTAAGATTTTCTATTGCTGTAAAGTATCATTTGAGCATATAACATCCTAAAGAAAGTAATTATTTTCTTCTGATAGTAGATTTTATGCCTTTGCTAATAGACTTGGATAGATTTTGTATTATCTATTGATGAGTTACATATTTCTACTTGAAACTGAAAATCATTTAAATTCTTTCCAAAGAGAAAATTCTGAGAATCAGATAAATTATATTCTTAGTTTCAAAGTAACTTGTCAACCTGGAATATTAGCACAAGGATGATTTCAAGTGAAACAAAATATAAATCAATGATTTCTCTTTCCATTTATAACTTAATTAGATTTACTAATCAGACTACTTTAGGACTAGGTTATTGCTTGAGTTAAGCAAACTCATTCTTTTCTCTTGCCCAAAAGATCACTGGAAAGGACCATTTTATTTTAAGGGATTAAAGAAGAAAAGATATGCAACTTCTAGGAATATAACTAAAGTTGAAGAAAATGTACTATTCTTGGAAATAAGAGTTAGCAAAAAGCATTAAGCAATGTTGTTCTGTTGAGGTCTAGTATTTTGTATAATTTGAAAATTACAGATGCTTACT